CCTTAGGTGTAGTGGCTGGTGCCTTAGCCGCTTGAGCCACAGGCGCCGAGCCCCTTGTAGGTATTATTACTGTAATTCTCCTTTTCTTTTCTTTTGAGAGACAGAATCTCACTTTTGCTCCAGGCTAGAGGGCCCTGTCATCAGCCTAGCTCACAGCAACCTCAGAGTCTTGAGTTTAAGTGATCCTCCTGCCTCAGCCTCCCAAGTAGCAGGAACTACTGGTTTTTGCTACAGGAACCTGGTGGTTTTCATTTTTTAGTAGAGACAGGGTCTCTTCTTGCTCAGGCTGGTCTCCAGCTCCTGAGCTAAGGGATCCTCTTGCCTCAGCCTCCCAGAGTGCTTGGATTACAGATGTGAGTCACCATGCCCGGCCTATTACTCTCATTTTTTAGCTGAGGAAAGGGAAATTCCAAGACAGTGACACAGGTGTTAATTGTGGTGTGAGGATTTAGACCTAAATATACTTAATTTCAGAACCAATCTTTTAACTACTTTAGTATACTAGTATTTAGGGTTTGGGGAGGATAAACAAGACAATATAAGAATGGAGGATAGGTGGCTCCATATACCAAGGGTGGCCGGTTCAAACTCAGCCCCTGCCCCGGCCAAACTGCAACAAAAAAATAGCCAGGTGTTGTGGCAGGTGCCTGTAGTCCCAGCTACTTGGGAGGCTAAGGAAAGAGAATCACCTAAGCCTAAGAGCTGGAGGTTGCTGTGACGCCAGGGCACTCTACCAAGGGCAACAAGCGAGACTCTGTCTCTTAAAAAAAAAAAAAGAATGGAGGAAATTAGCTCTACTAGGCATTAAAAGGGATTGCAAATCTAAAATTACCAAAATACTCTGATATTAGTCTAAATAAAAATATAGTAATACTTATAACTTAAAGATAACCCTGAAATGATCTGTATTAACCAGAGAAGTTCATTACATTTATCAACTCATGATAAGGTATATGTCACAAACGAGGAAGTTATGTTTTATTGAAAAAAAAAATGTTATTAAAACGTTTGGTTTGGTATTTAGGGAAGAAAATCAATTTAGATTTTTATTTCTAACAAAATAGATTTAGAAGATTTAAAGGGGGTAAGGCCCATATAGTGACTAACATCTGTAATCCTGGCACTTAGGGAGGCAGGGGCAAGAGAATCACGTGAGGCCTGGAGCTGGAGACCAGTCTCGGCAACATAGTTGAGATCTTACCTCCACAAAAACCAGAAAAATTAGCTGGGCATGGTGCTGGGTACTTGGAGCCCCTCAGATGCTTGAGATGGTGAGGCAGAAGGATTGGTTGGGCCCCTAAGTTTGAGGTTCAGTGAGCAATGATGACATCATTGCATTTTAGTCTAGGCAACAGAGCAAGACCTTGTCTCAAATAAGAAAAAATTAAATAAAAATAGAAAGGGGTGGCGCCTGTGGCTCAAGGAGTAGGGTGCTGGCCCCATATACCGGAGGTGGCGGGTTCAAACCTGGCTCTGGCCAAAAACTGCAAAAAATAAAAAATAAAAGGAATGGGGGAAGGAAATTCAGGTGAATATTTTTTTAGTTGTAAATTATATTATTTTAGTCTTCTGTTGTAACTTTTTACTCACTTGCACAGTTCAAACTCAATTTTCTAAATCTTTTAGGACAAATAAAATGTTACCTTTGTTGATGAAATATGATTGAGAACATTCTGGGAATCCCGTTTGTTTCTTTGACTTTCTAGACTTTAGTAGTATTTAATAATTGCTTAATTTGTGTAGACCATCTATGCTGCACATGGGAGGAGGAACCAAGAAATGAAACATTTTTTTGTTTTGTAGTCTGAGATCACACATAATGTTCATTAAAATCATCTAAATATGTTTTGGTGAATAAACCAAGAAAATTTAATTTGCAGATTATCTTTGTAGTAACGCTAAGATTTGTTCCAGTCTGTAAGCTACTTAATAAGATGTAGTTATTCATAGAGTCTCTTGTTTCTCTGAACTGAAATTGTATATGTTATATAAATTGTATTTAAGTTTTTTTTTTTTTTCTTTCTTGAGACAGAGTCTCACTTTATTGCCCTTGGTAGAGTGCTGTGGTGTCACAGCTCACAGCAGCTTCCAACTCCTGAGCTCAGGTGATTCTCTTGCCTCAGCCTCCCAAGTAGCTGGGACTACAGGTGCCCACCACAATGCCCAACTATTTTCTTGTTGCAGTTTGGCCGGGGCCGGGTTTGAACCCACCACCCTCAGTATATGGGGCTGGCGCCCTACTCACTGAGCCGCAGGCACCGCCCTATATTTAAGTCTTTACTGGCAAAATAATACATTGAATCAATGTGAGAATTTTCTGAAGATGATATTTTTAGCAGAAATTTAGAGGAAGGTAGGGTTGGAAGAAGGTTGGATTGATCTCTGGAACAAATTGATATAAAAGGGTAAGTGGAGGTTTGAAACTTGATTACAAAATGAAGGGACAACATTTAGGGATTTGAAAATGAAAGGATAATTTATATAGGGGTTAGTGAGAAATTAGTGGAATATGCAAAAAAAATTTTGAAAAAAGGTAGAGTGATTTGGATTTAGTACTCGATAATGGTATCTGATTTTACTTTTTGAACTAAGAGAAAATGCTAGTAATGGAGCTTTTAATTTTCTTAAAAAAATAATTCATGATAAATATTTTCATAATATAAGGAATTTTGCAACTTGTCATCTAAAACATAAATGGAGATTTGTCTAGAGTAAATTCGCACTTGATATTTGGCCTGTGCACATGCATTTTTCAGATTTCCTATTTCTTCAACTGATATTTGAATACTAATCATGTAGATGGGCTGTGTAAGAGATAGGCAAGTTAGGATCTTTTCTATCTAATGAAAATGTTAAAACATAAAAGATGCAATAGCTCATGCCTATAGTCTTAGCACTCTGGGAGGCTGAGGTGGGAGCTCCACTTGAGCTCAGGAATTCAAGACTAACCTGAGCAAGAGCCAGACCCTGTCTCTACTAAAAATGGAATAACTAGCTAGGTGTGGTGGCGTTCACCTATAGTCCCAGCTACTGGGGAGGCTGAGGCAGGAGAATCCCTTGAACCTAGGAGTTTGAGGTTGCTGTGAGCCAGGCTGATGCCATGGTACTCACTTTAGCCTGGACAACAGAGCGAGACTTTGTCTCGAAGAAGAAAACATTGTTACTCATAATGATAAGTATAGAGAAGAGTTAGTTCTGTTTATGGCTTGTATTTAAAATTCAGTTACAGCTGGAATACTAAGACCATTTCTTTTGCCAAGTATTTTCTTACTCTGAACCTTTCACGTTTGATAATGTGACTGTTTAGACCCTTTTCTTATTTATAAATTTTCAGGACTGTGATTTAAGAATTTTTTTTTTCCAAGAGTGCTTGCAAAGAAAACTTTCTGTTTTTGTTTTTGTTTTGTTTTTTTGGGCAGAGGTTACGCACAGAGAACAGACTTTTGAAACAGCGTATCGAAACACTAGAAAAAGTAAGTAAATGACTTCTTTTGCAAGCTTCTTTGAATGCATAGTATTTATTTCTGTACATTTTAAATCCATCCTCAAAAAATTAGGCACATACTATCTCTCCTAAGTAGTGATATTGACTGCTTAACTTGCCTTGCTTACTGTTTAACTAGAATAACTTGTTATTTATAAAATTGAACTTCCATGTTAAAGTTTTAACTGAGGTTATTATCAGAGTAACATATTGACACCATTTGTTTTCTTTACATAAAATCTCTAAAAAGTATGTTCTTTTAGAATCAAGTTGGGAATCCATTCTGATACAGCATTTTAAAAATGAATTTCAAGTGTTGCCCTCACTCTACCATGTTGAATGTGGCATTGATTCCCTTAAGGCTTAGCTTTAACTTTAGTCAAAATGACTAATTCATTTCATGAATGCTTTCTTCATTTAATTCATTTTTTTTTTAATTGTTGGGGATTCATTGAGGGTACAAGAAACCAGGTTACACTGATTGCATTTGTTAGGTAAAGTCACTCTTACACTTGTGTCTTGACCCCAAAAGGTGTGTCACACACTGCATTTGATTCATTTTACATTTTAATGAAATGTGCAAATTTCACTCATTGATTTTAACCCCTTCCTCTCTGTTTCCTCTAAAATAACTGAACAAATGTAGAAATTTTTCATTATTTTTCATATTGTGCTTTTGATAATCTTTTGTAATCTTTTTCTGATGCTGTAAAAATGAATTGAGTAGTAAAAGTGTAGTGTAAGAATTTTGCTTTTCCAATCTAGGCTTTGTAGTTTAAATAAAAAGTATTTTGCTTTACTAAAAGACAAACGTTTGAATTTATAAACTATTTTTGGTGCCTTTTTTTTTTTTTTTTTTTTGAGACAGAGCCTCAAGCTGTCCCCCTGGGTAGAGTGCTGTGGCATTACAGCTCACAGCAACCTCCAACTCCTGGGCTCAAGCGAGTCTCTTACCTCTCTCCCAAGTAGCTGGGACCACAGGCGCCCGCCACAACGCCTGGCTATTTTTTGGTTGCAGCCGTCATTGTTTGGCGGGTCTGGGCTGGGGATTCGAACCCGCCACCTTAGGTGTACATGGCTGGCGCCTTAGCCGGTTGAGCTATAGGCGCCGAGCCTGGTGCCTTTTTTTAAAAACCAGAGATGAGAGTGTATTAAAAGTGGCCTCATGATATTGCCACAATTTAAGTATCTTAAAATCTTCCTTGAAAAATCTAGAAATACTCAAGAAAGGAATAAATGGAACTATATGGATAGTTCACAGTATTTGTCTTTGGTTTAAAAAGTATTGATGACTTTGTATAAACAGAAGTATACAAGAACAGTATGCTTATGAGATGTCTGTTTTGGTTGTATAAAAATTGGAGATACATTTTATTAAGTCAAAATAGTTTCCTTGTTTTTCTCACATCATGTTAGAGTTGTTATAAGGATAATTCTGTTTTTTCATGAGGTTGAGTTTAATTGTTTTTAAGTTGTTTTAATTGTGTGTGTACTCTTTCCCCCCCCAATACCCACTTTATAGTAAAATATATATCATGTTAGGTGGTTTTTTTGTCTTTGAAATGAAACATTTTCACAGAAGAAGTGTTCTTATTTCCTTGACTCCTCAGAATGATAAAGATGCTATAAGAAAGTGTTAAGTTTGGATTTTGCATTCTAGAAGAGTACTTTTTTTTTTTTTTTTACTGGCTTAGATGGCCTAGACATGTCACTTAGCACTTAGAATTCTATAAATACTTTTCTATGAATTGGATTCTGTAATCAATTACCCAGTTACTGCTGGAGATGATTAAGTTGAGCCCATTATCATATGTTACATTTTTCTTCTTTGTTTCCTTGGAGGCTGTTGTTGCACCAATTGCTGTCATACTTGTTAAATGGACTTGCTTACTCAGATTCCTTCTCCCTTTCATATAAGTGATTTGATAATATGGTTAAGTGTAAAAATAGAGATGTACAGATAATGTTTTCAAAAGAAGAAATTTGCTTGTCCAAATAATAAAAAACCACTTGGAGTTTGTCTTTTTGTTTTAATATATTTCCTTAAGGCTTAACAATAAAAACACCTTCAGTAAAGAGTGTTAAATTTCAAATGTCCGTTTTAATTAGCAATGAAAAGTAGGTGGAATTTGGGTATGTTTGTTTCTTCTCATTCCTGATTTTATCACTTTTATTTCTTTTCTTATATTTCTATCTGAATTTTTCCTTTTGTAGGAAAGTGCTTCCTTGGCAGATAGATTGATACAGGTATAGTTTTGGTTTTATTTTTTTTAGCATTTTATTAACTTTACGTCTAAGGAAAGTCATAAAGCTAGAAATTCGTATTTTAATGCATGCAATTTTACATGCATTTTTCCTAGGCATAATTTTTGGGATGATATATGTATGGGTGTAAACTTAATTTTTTGATAACAGTATATTATCTTGGTTTATTAAAATAGATACCTTTTGCACGTTTTAAAGCTAACCTCATTTAAAAAAGTATTTACTTAAAAATGGCAATCAGTGGATTCTGTGAAATTAACACTATTCCTTGAAAATTTTAGTCCTGCATGTGCAACTCAGTAATATTGCATGAATTAAATTTTTATTGACTGAAAGAAGAATTGTTCTTAAGATTGTCGGATGAATTTCTCATTTAGCTTCCCAAAATTTGCTGGAGCAATAACAAGCTGCTGGCTAATGATTACTTAGGCTGTTCTGTTCTCTGAGGTGATTTTTTTTTTAACATGTCAAAGTAAATAAGCCTCACGAAGGCAGTCTTTCTTGAATCTATCCTAAATTGCTTTATACACAAAAAAATTATGTCCTAAGGGACAAGTGACAAGAGCCCAGGAGGCTGAGGAAAACTACCTCATAAAACGGGAGTTGGCCACCATCAAACAGCAGAGTGATGAGGCCAGCGCTAAGCTGGAGCGGGCTGAAAATACCATCAGGAAGCTCCAGTGCCAACAACAATGGGTAAGGAGGCTGGCAGTGCTTTTTCTCACCTTTCTCATCTCCCCTCCCTTTAAACCAGTTTTTTTTAAAGCACAGCTTCTGTGCTGTTGTCTTAATTTGGTTTTTTTTTTTTTTTTTTACTTTAATTGAATTCTTCCATTTTATGTTTAGTAATATTTAGGGGTCTTACTGTGGCCCAAAGACTCCTTGTTCTAACTTTTTTCTGTCTACATAGTTTTGTCAGAAATAGGTAATGTTTTTTTCCTTACACAACATTCTAAGTCATAGAAAATGAGCAGTGTATATGAGACTTGATTTTTAGATTTTAGAATTCTGTTTTCACAATAGATATCATTTTGCCAAGAATAATTTTAAAATTCTAACCCAGGCTAGTTATTATTTATTGTGCTAATGAAATATCACTCAACCTATAGAACACATATAATCCTCTCACTTAAAAAGCTTTGCTAGTTTGGGAACTTGTATCTTATGAAATGCTGTAGTTTGGACTTCCTACATCAAGGGATTGAATCATGAGTTAAAATATATGCTGACCTTTTTTCAAAAGGTGGGGCATTATCAAAAAATAGCCCTTTAAAAATTATGTTAACTAACCTAGGGTACTAAACAGCTACTGATTATACAGCTAGCCTCAGGCATCTAGCAACTTAGACATCATTTTCCACTGGCAAATTCAAACTAGGGTGATGTAATCGGGAATATGAGGGTAAAAGAAAAGCCAGCATTTTATCTTTGAAAAGATATTTCTTGTTTCTGTTTTTTGGATTGTAGTTAAGAAATAGGGAGAAAAAATTGTGTCAAATCTAGAAGTTGGTCCAGGTCTGGAAGCCAAATAGAATGATTGAGAAGTTGGACATTATTTTTATTCAGTAAAATTAAGAAATAGTATCATTTTCTGGGTACAAAAATTCCAAAACTAACCCAAATAAACGAGACAATTGAAAGAGCCGTAAACATGTTTTTTCTATTAGTTATTAAACATGCCTAAAGAAATGAACCTGGGAGTGATAAAATAATACTAAAAAGATAAATATTTTGCACTGCTTTTGTATGAATGTCAATAGTAGACAAGCATAAAAACAGAAAAACACAGAATTGTAGAGTATTTGGGGAATTAAGCTGAAATGAGTTAGTATAATGTGATTCTTTTTAAGAAGGAAAGACAATTATGTTTGCATTTAGCATAAGCTGTAGCCATAACACATAAGAATCATGAATTAAATCTTTTGCATTGTTTTGTGAAGATTGAGACCTGTGAGTCTTTTTGAGACCTCAAAAGGTTAAAATGTAGGTTTATAAAGTTAACTGGGCAAGCAGAACAGCCTGTGTTAATTGAGTGAACATATCACTGGAAGAAAAAAGTGACCATCTATCGCTCAGTGTTTATTTATTTATTTTGAGACAGAGTTTCATTATGTCACCCTTGGTAGAGTGCTGTATTATCACAGCTCACAGCAACTTCAAACTCTTGAGCTTAAGGGATTCTCTTACCTCTCTCCCAAGTAGCTGGGACTACAATGCCTGGCTGTTTTTTTTTCCTTGTAGTTGTTGTTGTTTAGCCGGCCTGGGTTGGGTTTGAACCTGCCAGCCCCGGTGTACGTGGCTGGTGCCCTAACCACTGAGCAACGGACGCCAACCCATATAGCTCAGTGTTTTGATTACAGTTTTCCACTGTGACTATATGAGTTCTTCAAAATTCTCTTAAATTTGTATTCCAGCAGGGGGTATTGAGTTACCAAAATAACCATCCACTACCACTCTCTACTGCCAAATGGTGGCATTTTATTAGAAAGAGCTTTGGATTTCATTTATGGGATGAGTTTTTTTTTTTTTGGAGACAAAGCCTCAAACTGTCGTCCTGGGTAGAGTGCCATGGCATCACAGCTCACAGCAACCTCTAACTCCTGGGCTCAAGCGAGTTTCCTGCCTCCACTTCCCAAGTAGCTGGGATTACAGGCGCCCACCACAACGCTCGCTATTTTTTGATTGCAGCCGTCATTGTTGTTTGGGGGGCTGGGCTGGATTTGAACCCACCAGCTCGGGTATATGTGGCTGACGCCTTAGCCACTTGAGCCACAGGCACTGAGCCTGGAATGAGATTCTAATCTTAATTGGCTGTGTGATTTTATATAGCTGAAGACAGTCTTTTTTTTTTTTTTTTCTTTAAAATGGTAAAACTAGGACTAGCTTGTCTTAGGTCTCTCTCTTTTGCTATTTGATTTATATATGTGTGTGTGTGTGTGTATTTTATTGAGACACAGTCCTGTTATGTTACCCTCAGTAGAGTGCCCTGGTATCATAACTCAGAGCAACCTCAAACTTCTGGACTCTTAAGTGGTTCTCTTACCTCCACCTCCCAAGTAGCTGGGACTACAGGCGCCCACCACAATGCCTGGCTATTTTTAGAGACGGGATATTGCTCAGGCTGGTCTCCCAACTTCTGAGCTCAGTCAGTCCACCCACCTTGGCCTTCCAGAGTGCTAGGATTACAGGCATGAGCCACTGTGCTCAGCCTAATTTATTACTATTTTATTTTTTTTTTGAGAGAGAGAATCTTACTGTGTTGCCCAGGCTGAAATGCTGTGGTGTCAGCCTAGCTCACAGCAGCCTCTAACTCCTAGATTCACTCAATCTTCCTGCTTCAGCTTCCGGGGGGGCTAGGACTATAGGCACCCACCGTAACCAGGCTATTTTTTTCTATTTTTAGTAAGAGATGGCTTCTTGCTCTTCTTTAGGCTACTCTTGAACTCAAAGGATCTTTCTGCCTTGGCCTCCCAGAGTGCTAGGATTACAAGTGTGAGCCACGACCTTCTCTTTCATTTTTTAAATGAACTTTATTGGCTTGGCGCCTGTGGCTCAAGCGGCTAAGGCGCCAGCCACATACACCTGAGGTGGCAGGTTCGAATCCCCAGCCCGGGCCCGCCAAACAACAATGAGGGCTGCAACCAAAAATGGCCGGGTGTTGTGGCGAGCGCCTGTAGTCCCAGCTACTTGGGAGGCTGAGGCAGGAGACTCGCTTCAGCCCAGGAGTTGGAGGTTGCTATGAGCTATGATGCCACAGCACTCTACCCAGGGGGATAGCTTGAGGCTCCGTCTCAAAAAAAAAAAAAAATGAACTTTATTAAAATATAAAAGTTTTCTTTTTAACTGACACCTAATGTTAATTATTGTGTATATTTATGGGTAATAATTTGATGTTTTGATATGTGTATATGTTGTATAACGATCAAATCCAGGTGGTTAGCATACCTAACCACTTCAAACATTAATTATTTCTTTGTGGTGAGAACATTCAAAATCTTTTTTAATGCCATGGCGGGAAGATTGCTGAGGTCAGGAGTTTGAGACCAGCTTGAGCAAGAGTGAGACTTTGTTTCTACTAAAAATAGAAAAATTAGCCTGGCCTTGTTGCTACTTGGGAGGCTGATGCAGGAAGATTGCTTGAATCTAGAAGTTTGAGATTGCTGTGAGCTAGGGAGGGTGAGGCCAAGGCACTCTGGCCTGAGGGACAGAGTAAGACTCTGTCTGAAAACCCCTCCCCACCAAAATAATTCTTTCTTCTAGCTTTTTAAAAATATACAATACATTATTTTTATCTAATCACTCTGCTGTGCAGTAAACAGCAGGATTTATTCCTCTTCTCTAAGTGTAACTTTGTACCTGTTGACCAGTATCTTAACCAGCCACTTGTTCCACCCGCTGGCCTCTAATAACCGTTCTTTTATTCTTTGCTTCCATGAGATTCACTTTTTTACATTTCAGACATGTGAGATCATGTTTGTATTTTGTGTCTGGTTTATTTCACTTAACAGAATGTCCTCTAGGTTCATCTGTGTTGTCACAAGGATAGAATTTCTTTCTTTCTTCTTTTTTTTTTTTTTTGGTAGAAACAGAGTCTAACTTTCTTGCCCTCAGTAGAGAGCTGTGGCGTCAATAGCTCACAGCAACCTCCAACTCCTGGGCTTAAGTGATTCTCTTGCCCCAGCCTCCTGAGTAGCTGGGACTACAGGTACCCGCCACAACGCCCAGCTATTTTTTGGCTGCAGTTTGGCTGGGGCTGGGTTTGAACCCGCCACCCTCGGTATATGGGGCTGGCCCCCTACTCACTGAGCCACAGGCACCGCCCCAGAATTTCATTCTTTTTTGGCTGAATAGTATTCCCTTGTGTACACATACTACATATTCTTTATCCATTCATCCATTGATGTACACTTAAATTGGTTCTGTGTCTTGGCTCTTGTGAATAGTGGTGTATTAAATGTGGGAGTGCAGATATTTCTTTGACACACTGATTTCATTTCTTTTAGATGTATATATGGGATTGCTGGATCTTACTTTTTTTTTTTAATTGTGGTAAAATACAGGGTGCACATAAAGTTCGTGTGCAATTTAAAGTTACAACTATTGCCAGGTGTGGTGGCTCTCCCTGAGGCCAAGGCAGGTGGATAGCTTAAGCTCATGAGTTCCAGACTCTGTCTCTACTAAAAATAGAAAAACTGAGGCAGGAGGATTGCTTGAGCCCAAGAGTTGGAAGTTGTTGTGAGCTAGGACGCCCCATCACACCCAGGGTGACAGCCTGAGACTCTCTCAAAACAAAACAACAAAAAAGTTACAACTATTTTAAATTGCACATGCACTCTATGTCCACTCTGTATATGTAACATAAAATTTTCCATTTAAGTACACAGTTGAGTAGCATTAAGTATGTTTACAGTGTTGTGCAGCCGTTACCATTATTGACTTTAGAGCTTTTCATCATCCCAGACTAAAGCTCTGTACCCACTAAACAGAAGATCATCTTCTTCCCTCCCCTTAGCCCGAGCAGCCTCTTTCTACTTTCTGTGTCTCTGTTTACCTGTTCCGGGCAACTCATGTAAATGTAATCATACAATATCTGTGCTCTTGCATATGGCTTATTTCACTTAGTATTTTTAAGGTCCATCCTTGTTGTAGCCTGTATCTGAATTTAATTAGTCTTTATGGCTGAGTAAGATACCATT